TTGATGAGCTTTAAGGACGCAGATCTAAGAGTTTTCAGGGTTTACTGAGAACCTAATTCAAGTAACCTCTGTATTATTCGTGATAGTCGGTGGGAATGTTTGGCAGAAGACAGAATGACAAGATGAGATATTTACTATGGCCCCAGATGCAAATTGGTTAAAAGAAAGTTACTTTCACAGAACAAAACTTAGTTTGCTAACAGCACGAAATTTTGTTTACTGGACACAAATCCATAGCAACTCAGAACGAATCTTTGTATATATCAAGATGACACATAAAAAAGCGAATTGGCGTATACTTTTCTCCTTAAATTCACTTCAGGCAGTCGAAAAAGTTAGACTACCCAAAACTTATATCCTTAAAACCTGCATTCAGTAGTAATTTCTTTCAGTCGAGTAGGTGTAGAGGTGTGTGTGTTTTTTTTTCCTTCCAATTGCAAACTGTCTGCATGCAACACAATACTCACGGTTCGTACTCCACAAGCGTCAAACGCCCAGCTGTGGTAAAACTAAAAAATTAATAAAAAATTCTACCTTCAAAGGAAAATGTATCATATGCACGACACCAAAAAAAATATTTTCACTAAAAAAATTAAATAAACATATCTACTGTAGTATATATATATATATATGTATATATGTAGATAAAGAAAAAAAACCAAGATTAAAACAAACTGCATGCGAGCATAAACAATTTGCACTCACGTGAATGTCGCCGGCGTCTGACTGTGTACATACTCGTACATACATATGCAAGCGTGGCTACGCTTGGCTCAACTTTGGTCTGACTGTGGCGAATTTGCGAGGCGTTGATAACAAAACAAAAATATTGCATTTATACGCCACAGCGTTGCCTGCAATGCCTGCATTGGGGCACAGCAGCGAGCGGCGAACGGCGAATGGCGCAGACACGCGTCATGAACCCACCAAAAAAATATAAATTCGCCAAACATGCATTGACAGCTGTCAAAAGTACGCAACAAAGCGTAGTAAAAATATTAATAAAACAACACTAAACAAATAAAAAAGCTGGAAATATGCATAAATATGCAGGAAATGTAGATGAAAAGCTTTTTTGAAGTTCTTTATAGTTTTTTTTTTATTTTTTTTTTTAAACTCTTTTGTTATAGAATTTTTTATGTGCTCAACATTTTTTGAGATTTTCGTCATCTATATTTAATTTTTGCATATTGCATTTTATTTGACATTTTTTTATAAATTATTTATTTTATTTCTCACCTGTTTTTTCATTCATTTAGTATGAAATTCACTTTGCGATTTTTTTATATTATTCTTTTGCGGTAATCCCTTTAAACAATATTCGTTGCTGGTTGTTTACTTTTTAACAATGTTGTTAACATCACGTTGCTAAAATAGAAAACAATGAAAATATATGTACTTACATATATATACATATAACAATACAAAATAATTTGATTCACATAACAGCGAATTTTGTAACTTTACAACCCACAGAGCAGAGTCAATTAATTTTGTAGCAGAAACAAAATGAATGAAAAGAAGAGATAATAGCTTTGTCAATTTGTTTTGATTTTGTTTTTAATGGCTCTCGAACACGAACAATTTTTCAAAGTTTTAAACAATGCTGGGAAGCTATTTATCTAGGCGTATATTATATATATATTAGGGACAATATATTTATTTATTATTCTTCACTGGATCGGTTTCGAAACAGAAAATGGAAAATATACAAACATAACTACAGACTCAAAATCCATACTATTTATTAAATTAAATTCGCAAATAAATAAAATTCACCACAAAATCCACTCCAGCCGTACGGTGGTGGAAACTCAAGGTTGAAAGAAGCTAAAACACGGGAAAGCACAATGAACCTACTCAGTTCCCCAAATTTCCTTTTCTAACCAACCACAAACTCAATATCCGCATTATTTAATAATTTTTCGGGAATCATATTAAATGTAAAATAAATAAAATTTCCAGAATCCTAGACACAATATGAGAGGCTCGAAAAAAGGCCCTTTACCTTTTTTAATTTTTAAATGAATCTATACTGGCGCTTTGTAAGCGCTGAAGCGATTTTTGGCCGATCTCCTACTCCGATTTGTGGCTCTGCATTTTGATGTTTCTCTAATAAAAAGAAGGACCAACAAGTTTATATTAAGCCGCCTCCGAACGGCTGATGGTTTTTTTTATGAGGAGCTTTATTTCATGTTCGAAATACACTGGACGTTCCTTGCCGCAATTAGAAGATTTAATTTAATTTTTTTTTATTAAAATGAATTTTCTATAACTTTTCGATGTTGGTCGCACCAGTGCTTGAACCCGGGTCATCGGAATGGCAGTACGCAATGCTAACCACTCGACCGCCAGAAGAATACTGAGCTTATATTAGTTTCTCGTTTTTTTGAATTGGAAATATCAAGAGAACCCAAGTCACTCTCTCAAGGCAGGGAAGGTCTTACTCTTATTCTGCTTCCATTAGCTCATACGGCATCGAATACTTTCAAAGCTGGGGTATTTCCAGCCATTCAACGACATGATCGAGCCAGTGAAAGCATTGACAATTCATCCGGTGAACTATATCCATATCGCCGTATATCACATACAACTGATTCGTTCTTCGTCTGCAGTATTCGCTTTGTGAAAAGGTTTATAAATCGTTCGCAAAATTTTTCTCGCGAAAGCTCTTAGCGCTGACTCATCGGATGTTGTCAACATCTACGCTTCTCTGAATTATGTGGCAGAACGGGTAAGAAGGGCGTGCAGAGTTTTATCTTTGTTCATCGAAAGAGGACTTTCCTTGCCAGATGACTACTCAGTCCGAAGTAGCAACTGTTGACAAGAGTGATTCAACGCTAGATTTCATGGTTGATGCTGCTCCCAAAATAGATGTTATTATGTACGACTTCAAAGTATCGGCTATCAACAGGGACGTGGGAGCCAAGACGCGAATACTCTGACCGTTTGTTTGATGACAGGAGATATTTCGTCTTGTTATCACTCGCTACTAGACCCATATCCTTCGCTTTCTTATCCATCCTGGAGAAAGCAGAACTCATGACGCGGTTGTTGAAGCCAATGACGTAGTATCATCGACATACGCTAAGGGTTGTTCACTCTTTTTAGAAGAAATTCGGTTTTGCAGCTCGTTCCATTTTCTCCAGCATAAGAAAATGCACGTCGCATCTTGTCTCGCTCAGTGTCGAACGGCTCGAAACAGGCCAGGTTTGAAATTTGACTGAATTCGGACTTAGCAGAAACGAGGCAGCTTTTTTTCGTGCTATCGAAGATCGCTTTATAACCCACGAATAGGTGATGTGTACCGATCTTTTTTTAAGGATTTGGCGCATAATGAATGTTTGGTTAAGGGTGGATCTACCTGGTCAGAAGTCCAATTATAAAATCCAATCATCTCGCTTTGTATTTCACACATGACGAACGATAGTAGCCTGTAAGCGAGGAAGCTAAGACCGTGAGGTGTCTTTTTTATAAATTGGGCAGGGTACACTTCGACCAAATTTTATAAAAAAAAGCTTATAAATACATTTTGCAAGCTCTTCGTCGCCAAATTTCAATAGATCAGTTGGTAAGCCAGCTTCTCCCGGTGCTTAGTTATTCTTTAAACTGGCAATCGCTATTCGAACTTCGGCTTAACGGGGTGTGGATATTTTCCAATATAATCTACAGGCTTTTCGGGTTCGAAATCTACAGAGTTTGAGCTTGCATTGCCGACATTAAACGACGAACCTTCCTTTTCCTTATTGATGATAGCCATTCTTTGCTGCACAGAGGCGCGTGTGTATCTCTTCTGTGACAAAATAGAAATTTGATTTGATACTAGAACCACAGAACATACCCAGAGATGGAACACTGTATTTATGATTGCTGTGTCTGCCCCGGCGGAGTCAAGTAGTCTCAGTTCATTAAGAGCTGTTACTCCCTGTAGGCTAAATTTTCCCGCAGTTATGCCGAAGCGACCGTAAAAGCCGAATGGTGGTTAGCGGTGTGTTCTACCATGCGAAAAGACAGAGTTTGAGTCATTGTCCGACCAGCATCCAAAGTTATAGAAAATTTATTTAAATTTAAAAATTAAGTTAATTTTTCTTATTGCGGTCGGCACTCTGCAGGAAATTTCAAGTCCACTGAATGTATTTCAGATATGGAAAAAACGCTTCTCATAAAAATCCATTGGAGAGCGGCTCAGTATAAACTCGTAGGTCCCTCCGCGGTTGGAAAAATATCAAGGCGCTTACTACACGAATTGGAAGATCTCCGTGGACAAAAAAGCCTCAGTGAAAAAAAAATTAATTGCTATTTTTGGAACACGGATTTTCGAAAACTCTTTGGGAAGAATATAATTTTTATTTTTCCCAGAAGTACTTAAAATATTTTATATTATGAATCATTATTATTAACTCAGAATATTATTAAAATATGAAATTAGTTTTTCGTTCTTACCTTCCAAAGAAGTTTCTCCAATTTATTTATCAAATAAAAAAAGAAAATTAATTATGAAATATTTCGCCATAACTAATGAGTGCCAATTCCGACTGACTGCCAACAATACAGTAAATAACGGTACGAAACCAAAGTAGTGAGCTTGGAATTGGAAGCAGCGCGACCTAATTGCTGTTGAAACTTTCAACTTCACCTTTCGGGACCGGGCAGGCAGAACCATTTGTAATTTAATTAACTTTCAATTTGTTATGCTGCATGCCGCACAGTTGATTGCTGCAAGCCAGACCAAAATAGGACACAATAGAATTCGCCGCAGCAAGCATAGAATAGCGAAACTGGCAGTTATTGGAAAATAAAATTGTTAAAAGATTGATTACCAGCACGAGGGCACATCGTTTGGTGCGCCACTAACCCGCGTACAGCCACTGAGCGCTGTCGCCAACGCGATTTTGCAATTAATTTTCTATTTTTCACATTTTTCCATTCATTCAACCTTTTCATAATTTTTCAGACTCACGTTTCTCATTTTTTTGTCTTCTGATTATTTTCTCTTGCAGGCCCATCAGCCGCACGCCGCTAACACAGGTCTCGTATTTGCAGAAAATACCAACACTACCACGTCACTTCTCGCCCAGCGCCGCAGCTGCAGCGGCTGCAGCAGTTGGAGGCAGCGCCAGCGGCTTGGGTCTTGGCGCGCCAGGTGCAACCGGAGCGCTACTGCCCAGCAGCTCGTCTGCGAGCGCGCTATACAATCCCAATACGACTGGGTTGCCGACATCACCATTGCCACTGCAGCGTCAATTTCAACACCCGCCACCACCACCACCACACCAGCAACAACAACCGCCGCTACCCCTACATCACCATCAATTGCATCAGCAATATTTGCCACCACATCATCAACTGCCACCACCAGCACCACCACATGGAGGCGCACCTCCGGTTGGCATGTTGCCGCATCACGCACCACAGCAGTATTCACCAGCGCATTCGGCGCATTCCTCGTCGTCCAAATATTCGACCTCCTCGCTGAAACACCAACATCAGTCGCAACATCAACAGCACCACCAGCAGCAACAGCATGCACCACACCAACTGTCGCCGGCGATCTCATCGCCGTCACCGCCATCGCTACTGCATCATCCATCGTCGGCGCATGCGCCCTTTGCACTCGTCGGCCACCAGCAGCTCGACATGCAACGGCATTCGCATTCGGACGATGACAGCGGCTGTGCGCTGGAGGAGTATACTTGGGTGCCACCCGGTCTGCGACCCGATCAGGTAAGCAATAAAAATATAGCGTAGGAAATTTTTCAATTACACTTGCCTACAAGTGGTAATTTCTTATAACCGATCAACTTTATTTCAAGAAAGGGGCAAGTGGAAGTTGCTTATGTTAACCAAGAAAGATATCTGTGAGTAACCACGCACCTGCGGCAAACTCCACATTACTCTTTTATTTTATACCTAAGAGCTACTCTTGTGCGGAGACGTTTTCAAGTCTCTTATCTAACAGCGGCGACGAGGCTACGGCTATAGGTATTTTTTGTCACAGGACGTTCCGAGAGAGTTGCTTCTCAGTTATTCCTTGTAGTCGCGCTCCGATGGACATGTTATACTGACATCCTAATGATAATTGGATGCTGAGCCAGTCCACTCGATTGGCACCAATAGGAGATGAGTTGATGTCCAAGTATCCGCAGTAGTTGATCCAGCCTCATGAGGCACTTCTAATTTATCGAAAGAAGTTTAAACTCCATATTATTTTGCAAGAGGCTTCTGATGACTGTTTATAGACTTTCGGTTGTGGGCAGATCTTTTGAGACCGCCCAATAGTTGCGTAATGTAGTCCAAGCACGGTGTGATGGTTCTGTCTCTATTAAATGTCTGCCATCCGTGGCTTACCAAATCCTCTGGAAATTTTTTCAGCGCGTTACTCTGACTCGATTTGGGTTCTTTCGTTTGTAGACCAGTGTTACTTTTGAACCATCATTATCTATATATAGAGTTAAGATTAAAAACGAGTTGCACCGCGTGGCTGGTAGATAGCGTAGAAGGAATGGAATGGAGTTGAGGCGTGAAATTGTGCCACAACTTTTTTGATTAACTTAAGAGGGCCGGAGAATGTACTTGAGCTTTGAAATCAGTATGAATTAGCAGTTCGCTGAAGAATGCAATTATACGCATTGAGAATTATTTCCAGGTGCACTTGCGGCTGCCTCTGTCGCACAGCAATAAAATATCATACACACATGCACACATACATACATACGAGTATAAAGATGGGCCATATAAAAAAATCTATAAATATGCGGTTTGCTATGCCTGCCGAGTGGCACATGCGCCTCCGTATTAACTTTCTAGAACGCACGCGCCGTCAACCTTTCAACACGTCGTTCCCAATAGCAAAAACTACAATGTAACCGAATAATCTATGCTAGAACCAACACCCAGTCGGCTGTGCATTAAATCTCTTTGCGCGGCATTCATTTCTACGACGATAACTACGAGACGCCAGCTAACTTCGCTACCAACAAACAGCTGTGGAGCCTTGTAGGCTCGCCTTACCTTACCCATAGTACGTACCTATAGCTTTGTATGTACAGCGTTTCACCTTGCTAGCTGTTTGCCGCCATGTGATGTCTTCGGTATCATAAAGATTTGTGGCTGGCGTATTGTATGCCAACTACAAAGCCGTTTCTCAAAATGCGCTAGTCGTGTAAGTTGAGAGCGCTTTGGTGTTTATCATTTTGTGTTTGCGGCGTGGCGATCGGTGTCGGCTTCTTACGCATCGCGGAAAGCCGGATATCGGAATACATACGTACGGAGCTACATACTTGCTATTTCACATAGAGTCCATTGAGCGTAATGAATGTCTAGTTGTGTCACTTTTAATCTGCTGCAAACCGTATCTTGCCGATTGTGCAATACACTTGAAGAAACTAACCAAAAATGTTAAAGTGAAGCCCTGATGAGTCATAAAAAGAGCTTACGGCCTATATATTCTCATATCGCGTTTGAGATTCTGCACTAGTGGGTGTGAAGTCAATACGTAGTCAAGCTCTATCATACTCATTGAGATGTTTTCTAAGCCCCAGTGAAGGTCTTCAGTGGTCATATTTCTATCCGTTAAGCCTACCATTTGGCTTTATGTATTTCACCCTTGCGGTAGTTGCGGTCGGGCAAGAAGTAGTGAACACCCAGTCGACTACCGAGTCATATAATTTTATAAATAACAAAAACTCTCTTGACCTCTCGCGATTAACACCTGCGCTCAGCAGTCGCCAAGCTGACGACAGACTTAATAGACTGCGCATTACTTGAAAGTACATGGTACTACTCTCTCCTGACAGCCCCACAGCCTTGCAGCCTCACAGCCTTGCAGCCTACGTATGAGCGATTAGAAAAAAAAGCTTTATAGATGTTGATATAGGACTTGAACCTGTGATTATCCGATTCTTCATTCAACTATTAAGAACACATATATATAAAGTTAGGCCAGTGTGTTACCCTAACAAGTTAATCAAATTGTCACTCTGTAGTTCAAGGTCCAACGTTTTCACAGTCTCGAATTAGGGAAATGAAAGATTTCGCAGGATAACTTCCACAACACACGTTATGAAGAACCGAAGCAGTTCACCAGTTGCCTTATTAAGACACGCTTCTTTCTCCCAAAAAGATAAAAAAAAGAGTAGGAGAAAATTCGAGGGTTGAAGGCACTCAGATATTTAGTCAAGATTTCACATAATCTTCTTATTTTCAGACTATGAGCCGACTAAGAACACATATTCCAGCTTAGTGGCCCTACAATCAGAGATCGGAATGAAAACCTGTCACATAAAAAATTTCCGCGAAGCTCTATTTCGCCTTTATATTTATGTTAGAATGATAAAAAGGTGTGTTAGGTTCAGAGGTTCAGCGTTAATGTTCAAGATTTGTCTCTAGAGCTTAGACTCTGTTAAGGTCGAGATTTCATATCTATTTTTGGTAGAGCCCCTCTGCCGTGTAGCATACGTCTTGGTATTTATTCAACCGATTATTCCGAACTCATAAGAAGCTTTTTGATTTCATGTCAGAAAAATGCCAAGAGAGCTTGATATTCTATGCCAAGGGGCGACCACGTTTACGAAAAATTTTCAGTAATTTTCGATTTCGTATACGAAAATAAGATCTTAAATAACTTTAGAATGGGTTAAACGGGTAACTTTTAGTAAGAAAAAACTAACCTTAAACCTAACCTAACCTTTCGGCAGAAATATTATTTGCAAGCACGAATTTCAGAAACTGTTCCACCTAGGGAGCCTTCGGAAAAGGATTAAAAAAAATGTGTTTTGAGCAGCAAATCCACATTCCTTAATTTAAACGATAAAGTTGAAGCATCCTTGATGCCCCAAGGATCCAGACTTTGATTCGACCAAGGGTTCATGGTTATTAAGAAGTCTCAGTTGGCTGCAACTGGTCTGCTCTTCTACCACGAATTCAATACCAAACTTTTACATTTTTATTTGGTCATATTAGCAACCTTCTGCTCATTTCTTTATACCGTCCTAGTGCGTGCTTTCAATCGGATTTTCAGAGCATACTTCTTGTAGAAGAGGCCGGTCCCCATAAGCTACTTTAATTATAAACAAAATAATTGTACCTCAGAACCCGAAAGGCAATTCTTTCTGGTGCGGACTTCAGCGCCAACCTCTGAGCCTGAATTAACAATTCTGAAAATCTCTATCTATTTTCTGCAAGTGCAGCCAACTTCACTCACTGTATTTATAGCTAAGTACTTGATGTTTTCTTCGACGCGCGAAGTGGTTTATGTGGTTGAAGCGGTTGAAACGGTTAGGGTCATAAATATGTCAAGTGCAGTTTTGATAAATAAGAGTTATTGCGCGGCGAGAAAGCGAAATGAAAAAAAAAAAAATAAAAAATACAAAAATAAAAAACTAAATAAAAGGTAATGCCAGAGCATTGAAAGGCGAGTAATAAAAGCTGCTACAATTTGTTGCATTGATTGAAGTGGCAATAAAAATAGAAATTGCAACTCTTCTGCCATAAAACTATGGGACGTCCGCGGAGTAGTATTCATGCGTGGCTGTGTAATGTATAACTGTATAAGTGTTTTCAAGTACTTCACCACAGCTATTTTATTATGCAGCGATGAATTCATAGACTTTCCAATTTCACTCACCACCGTCCAAATGCAAAATCCAACATTGCCACCAATTGATTTTTTATGTCATTTATAAGGTGTTTAATGTGTTCAAAAGCGGTGCCGCTGTGGTGGGACGTCCTTTCAACTTTATCAATTAGAGCGGCCGTTCGTTTACTTTCAAAAATTGTGGACCTTTCGGAAATGAGAAACAAAAAATGAAAAGGAGGATATAAAAATAAACTAACTGCTCCTCTTCCTTACTGCCACCTTATCAGCAGCTTACACATGTTGCAGCTGTGGCAGCAGCGCGCGTTATCCACACGTCGCTGACAGTCCCTGCTGCTGACCACCGCTGGGTGCAACACATAAATTATTACCGTAAAATATCCGTTGCTGTGAAAAATAAATCTTTTATAATCTCTACTTTGGTGAAACGTATGTATATGTGTGTGTATGTTTGTATTTAAGCTCCTATGGGCTTTTCCATGGAAATAATGATATTTAAGTCATTTCTATTTCTTTTTCGCCATTTTAGCATTCACTGAAAGCGCTAAGCACTGCTCATTTTCAGCACCACGAACGGATACTGCATCGAAAACTCTAAAAGCTGGAGTATTTTCACTCATCCGCACAACAAGATCTAGCCAGCTTCTATGCAGTCACTTCATTCGCTCAAACTGCTTATCATTCCATCGCCTGATGAATACGTTGTTCCCAGTACGGACTGCAAATCTTCCGCAAAATCTTTATCTCCAAAACTCCTAACCCGAAATAATCGGATCTCGTCATCGTCTGCGTTTCTGCAACACACGCAGCAAGACGTATGCGATGAGCTACTTACAGAATTTCGTCTTTGTTCGACGAGAGAAATTACTTTTCAAAGACTGTCTGTCTGATAACGGATAATTCGTCTTGTCAACTACATGACGCATTTGCTTCGCTTCTTGTTCCGGTCTGTAGGAAGCGGAATTAACGCCGCGTTTGCAAATTCTTGCGTCATCCACCTTATTTTAATGCCCTTCATTCTTAGATAACTCGTACAATTATATGGTCTAGCATTCCCTTGCTTATCGAGCTAAGCTCGAAAGTTCTGGTAGATAAATTACGCGAGGGATGCAACAGCAGATATTGCTTC